TCTCTTGGAGTTCTTTGGGCTAAACCTGACATCAATCTCGCCAGACTCAACCCTATCTCCCAAGCCAGCCAGTCACAACACCGTGAATTCCTCAGGGAGGTGCCAGCCTCATCCTCTTGCACTTTCCACACTCTTGCGGTGAACTAAGAACACGCTTATCTCCCTGAGCCTGGCCTTCATAATTCTATTCCATCACAAAGCTACTACAATAGTATATTGGGTGCACAGACTTTGCAAGAATTAAAAACAAGCTCTCTCTGTTCAAATTCCTTGTTTGCACAATTCCCAGAGAAAGAAGCAGATTAGAAATAACTATGTATGGTCAAGAACAAAACTGTTCTTACCTTAGCTCGACCACTGTTTATTCCTAATAAGTTAGGCAGGACATGTGATGTAAAGTTTGTAACAACGTGCTAAATTGCTTGCTTTAAAACTTTCATCTTCTCCTCTAAGACAACATCTGGTAGCTACCGATCAACAAAACTTCACAGCACTCTTTAGCTCTTGGTTGCACGACCTGTAAATTGGGATCAAAGGAGAAAGCTTTTCCTACACAGTGCAGCAGTTCCCTGGCTGGCCAGCAGCCCCTCTCTTGCCCTCCCATTTACCTGCCCATCATTCTGACCCAGGCAGGGAACCTGCCCCAAAGGCCCCACAGTTAGAGGGGCTGTTGCCTGGTTCCAGGCCTGGCTCACTCTCTTCATCCTCCTCTCCCATTTGCCACCAGCCAGAGAAGTCCTGGGAAATTGACCTGAAGCAAATGGAATCTCTAGTGGACAATAGGACGGCTTGCCTGATCGTGAACAACCCATCCAACCCCTGCGGTTCTGTTTTCAGCAGAAGTCACCTCCAGAAGATTCTGACAGGTAATTCCTCAGGCCAGCTTTGGAGCTATCTCATGCATGCATCCCTGTGCCAAACTCTCTGCTGCTCTGTGTGGGGCAGAAGGAGTCACCAGATGCTCCAGGCCCTGGAGGCCATCCAAGTTGAGGGCACCTGATGACTTGCTGAATGTCTTTCTTCCTTCTTTCTGTTGCCCAGTGGCCTCCAGGCAGTGTGTCCCCATTTTGGCCGATGAGATCTATGCAGAAATGGTGAGTGAAGAGCAGCTTCAGTCTGTCTGGGGGGATGGAGAGATGGCTTCTGTGAGGGGAGAGGGCTGGAGCTGAACTAATGAGGGCTTAGCAGAGGCAGTGGCAGTGGCAGGGGAAGGCCTTTAAGAAAGGCCTGCCTTTGTGTCCCAACTCGTGAGGGGCTGAGCACGGGAGGGCATTCTCAAAGTCTTTCCTTAGCCACTAAATGGAATTCCTCTAACTCATCCCAACTCAGGTGTTTGAAGATTGTAAATATGAGTCCCTTGCAAAGCTCAGCACTAATGTCCCGATCCTGTCCTGCGGAGGCCTTGCCAAGCGGTGGTTGGTGCCTGGCTGGAGGATGGGATGGATTCTGATACATGATCGCCGGGACATCTTTGGAGAGGAGGTGAGGACTACCCACTTGGCTGCTGGGGCCCCCAGTTTGGTTCCAAGGGGAGGAAGAGTTGGCCCTCTTTGTTCTCTTCCAAGAGAGAAGCAAGGCCAATTAAAGCAGTCTCAGGCCTGACCATTCCCTGCGATGTTTGCACCTTCGCACACTGTCTCCCTTTATGCCGGGCAAGAGTGCCAGGGAAGCAGCCTCCCTGGTGGACCTCCTCCTCCTATAGGCAGGAGTCTCTTGAGGATGATGGGTACACTTCCCTCCCCCTCCTGTCCCTGTGTGTCTTCCAGATCAGGGAGGGCCTTCTGAGGCTGAGCCAAAGGATTTTGGGGCCCTGCACAGCTGTCCAGGGAGCCCTTGGGCATATCTTCCACCGGACATCCCCTGAGTTCTATCACAACACGCTCAGCTTCCTCAAGGTGCGCCTGAGTCGTTTTTAAGAACACATTGCAATAGATGCACTTGTACCTTCAGAAAGAAATAAAGACATGTCTCGGTTCCAGCAAGGTGCTGAACTGGTTAAGTTGGGGTGGGGAGGTTAATAAACTCAATCTCAAGGGCACTAAATTTAATTCCAAACAGGCCCAGTCATGCACTGACTTATATCAGTTCCACTCAGATATTTTTGTTGTGGAAACACCTAAACCTGGTCAGCTGACCTCTTTTGCCTACCTCGGGCTGCAAGAAAAGTAGCAGAGAGGTAGAACGGGAAGAAGCCAAGCTTCCACATTCAGAAGTTGCTGCAGAGCAGAGTTCCAACACACTGGTGCAGCAGACTTCTTTCTTTTTTTGGTTGAGATAAAAAAGACAATGAAAGCCCAGTCAGTCCCATGATCGCAGAATCCCTGGTTTTCACTGTTCTGAACCCTTGGCAGTGATTCCTTTCTGTGCAGCAGAGGATCTGCTACGGGAGACATACAGCTGTCCTCTCTCCAGTGTGCTTTGCTCGGTATGTTCTTTCTGTAATAGTTCTTAGGTGAAAAAAATGGGACATCAATACATCTTTGCAAAGAAACTGAAGGATGGGCGTATTTTGTTTTGTTTTTTGCCAGTTTGAGAACAAACAGCTACCAAGGGCTTTCAAGAAAAGTTCATATTTAACTGTTCATGTTCCTTTAATTTGGAAATCTGGATACTAGAACGCTCTCTGCCATTAGAAAGGGTTAGGGTCAAAAGGGGTTTCAGAGGTGAGCAAACGGTTCCTGCAGCTCTGCGGGGGTGTGAGGAGCAGTGCGACAGACAGAAAAAAGGGCTGCTGTGGAGGGAGGCCAGGCCTCCCTTTCTCTCTCGTTCACATCCCAGCACAACTGGAAAAAGGACAGGATCTGTGTGTGCTCATGTCACATCTGTGGCAAGCAGAGGTTCAGTTTTTTGCCTTTTTGGCAGTCCAGCTAGTTTTTGAGGTGAGGCACGTTTAACCCATCACTGGCCAGTTGTGTGGGTGAGGGAGGCAAAGGTTTGCTTTGGAAGCACTGTCTGCAATTTGACTTCCTCCTTATTTGCCCTTTCCAGTCCAACGCTGTCCTTTGCTATGCCACCCTTTCTACAGTCTGTGGGCTGAAGCCGGTCCGGCCCCAAGGAGCCATGTATCTTATGGTGAGCTCCCCTTGTGGAGAGGGTGAGGGAAGGTTTGTTGGTACAGGACACACTTTCCTTCCTTCCCTGAAGACACCCCACGTAGGGCTGTTCCTTGGGGGAGAGGGGAGGAAGGGACGTTGGCTGAGACTTGTCTTCTACCTCTGTGGCTCTAGGTGGGGATCGAGATGGAGCATTTCCCAGAGTTTGAGAATGATGTGGAGTTCACAGAGAGGCTCATTGCTGAGCAGTCTGTCTTCTGTCTACCTGCCACGGTGAGCTTGTTTCCCTGTCGGAAGATTGCGAGTGCCTGGGACTGTCAGGTCTCCTGCTTTCGGCTGCTTCTCCTTTCCCTAGTTCTTGTTTTTGGTGACAGTGGCACAGCTCCACATCCCTGGAGGTTGGTATGAGAGATGCTGCAGCATCTTCTCCTTCTGGCTAGGCTAGCTCAGAGGCAGCCACGTTCCTTACTGCACTATCTCTTCTCTCCACCGGATTTTCATATTGGAAATAATATGGGTTGGAGCCCTACCCCCTGCAGCTATGTCTGCAACTTGTCATCCTGGTGACAGCCTTGGAGGCTGTGGGAGATGAAACAGGAACAAGCTTTTCTTGAAAAACGTAAGAAAAAATTGGATCTGGCCTTGGAGATGGGGGCAAGGGGGAATAAGCACAACAGGAAAAAAAACACAGCTGTTTTGGCTGGCAGCCCTCCTGTCCCCAGCTTTCCATCAAAAGGCCCAGCGATAGCAGCAATGGGACTGACTTGCAGAGCATTAACTCCGGTGCTCTGCTCGGGAGGAACTGCTTGGGAAGCTCCTTACAAAATCCAGTGGCTAACGGCTCAGCTGTCTCTCCTGGCAGTGCTTCGAGTACCCCAACTTCTTCCGTGTGGTGATCACCGTGCCCGAGGAGATGATGGTGGAGGCTTGCCAGCGTATCCGCTACTTCTGCGAGAAACATTATCAAGGCGGGGAGGGGGCCCAGGATCTGGAATGTGACAAGTAGGCCCAAGCATGTGTACCTGGCCCTTCTTCTACTCCACCTGCTCTGAGTTTGCTCCCAGAGCACCCGGATTCAGCACCATCATCCTCTGCTCTGGACTCTGAACTGCTAGGGCTTGGCTCAATGACACTCCTTCCTGTCCAGTGGGCTCAGGGAGCTTCATCAGCAGCCCTGGGCACTCCTGACAGCCTGCAGTCACCTGCTGAATGGTTTCTAGAGCCTATGGGAAGCTGTGAGAGGGAACCCCCATGCCAGCCACAAACCAGAGCAGAAGGTGTCCAACCCTTCCACAGGCACAGGACTATTCCCAATACTACACAGACCTCAATGGAAGCCCATGACTGCCCCCCCCCATCATGCACATGCAGTCCACTTTCTTGTACACACATTTGACGTTCATAAGTTATTGTATTTTTTGTATGAATAAATGCATGGTAAATGACGTGTGCAAAGACGTATACAAACTCATCTTGTAGCAGGAAGGATGTGGCTGGGAAGCAGTCAGGGAGGCTATGATCCTGCAGTAGCTCCTAGCTGTGCCATCCAGAGGAGGAGGAGGAGGTCATCTGGTAAATGGGGCAGCCCTCACAGATGTGACACCCACTGTAACCAGGAAGAGCAAAGCAGGGAAGGGAGCTACGTCTCTCTATTCAGAAGTCATCTGTCACATCTTCTGATTATGCTATTGCCCAACTCAGTCCAGTAGAACGTATAAAGATTCTGCTCCTATTACAGGCAGTCAATTTCTACCCCAGGCTTTTGTGTTCTGTTATGTGAGGGATGGGGAAGAAATCCAAGGGAGAAATATTAAGATTGGTCATATTTTTTTACCAATACAATCTTACTGTCTTGTAGGAAGGCAGTATTATTTATTACATACTTCCTATTCCACTTCCAACAGAGTCTTTTGTCATGAGAGGAAACACTATTCCTATTTGCCTTATAATTCCACCATTTTTCTTATGGCCTCCTCTCTTTAATTATAACGTAAGGAGAAAAAGTTTTTTTTCTCACTGTAATCTTCAGCTGCTGATCTCCTGCGAACAAACTGTGAAAATGAAGCCAACTTAGGAAATTCCTTTCTTAAGGGATTTCAGCCAGTTTCTCTGCTTTGGCTAGAGTGATGGTCTGATGTTCTGCCTGGACCACATTTACCAATTTACCGTGCCCCCTTTGCTTCATCACTCCTCCCTCCTGGACTGGAGATGGAGACAGAAGTAAACATGTTTTTAATCACTTTTTCCTGTCACTTGGGCTGGAAGGGAAAAGTGGCAGGACTCTATTAAAACACTCAAAGGCAGATCCATCTGTTCGCTGTTTTGCCAGTTAACTTGTTAAACAAAAACACAGCTTCCACCATTCCACTGGCAAACTTGGGAAAAGAAGTGGTGGAGGGCAACTGCCAGGGGCTAGAGGGGATGGACCGTTGCGGCTACAGGGTTCAGTGACTAATTAGGAGATGTTGGCCTGGAAGGAAGCGGGACAAACTTGCTTGAACTGGTGCAAGTCAGAAAGCGCTCCTTTTGATGTGTAGCGGAAAAAGACTGGTGGGCGTTGCCTCCCTGGTGGGCTGCGGGCAGGTGGAGGATGTCGTTCTGGCTCTTGCTGGCGCTGGGACAGTTGGGTCGTGTGGATTGACCGCTCACCAGTCCGACTGATACTGGAACTACACGTGTTGACTTAGAAACTATTCAGACAGTGTCTCCATGCTTCTGATGACAATGTGCTGCAAAAGTTGCTCTGAACAAAGCCACCAGCTGTTTGCAAAAAAGCCTACTAAGAGCATCGCTGCAAAAATCTTCTAATATGTAATCTAAAAATAAAAACAATTTATAATACGGTCATAATCATTTAGAATTTTCAATCATTATTCTCACCTTTCCTATCTCTGAACTCAATAGCAAGGTGCAGCTTTCTGCTGTCATTGTCACAGTGCTGGCTTGCTTGTTATTGAATCTCTGCATAGTTACTAAGTGGGCTAGCAAAAAGGCAGCTTTCCAAGCTGCTGCCCACTTAACTCTCCCATAGGAGAGGGATTTTTTTCCTGGAATGTTTTCCAACAGCCCCCAACTGGATCAGACCATTTTTGAATTCAACTGTATTTTTCTGGCCCCTCCTGCACACCAAATCTGCTCCTGTTCTGTTCAATTTCTGGCAAGTTAACCATGCTGACGGACAGATACTCATGAACTCCTTGGTTTGTCTCCATATTCTGCTGGGTTAGGACAAGTAAGAGCAGCTCTGCAGACGCTGGATTCTGGGCCTTGCTGAAGCATGAAGGACTTGTGGAGAGCTGGGAAGGAGGGAGGGAAGAGGAGAATGTAGAAAAGCTGATACCTGGCCAAAGGCGCACTGCTTGGAAATCCCTTGCAATTAACTTTCCTGCCCCCTTTATTCTCCTGGCATGTGACCCCCAGGACAGCTAGTGCACATGGGACCATCTCACCTGCCAGTGGAGGAGATGCATTTCTCTCTCATTCTCCCATCAATATGGTCAGTTAGCACCCACTGTCTGTCTTTCCTCCCTTTTCCTGGACCTCCTGGTTACGGCAAGACAGATTCCTACGCAAAGGACCACGTGGCAAGGACCTTTGCATTTCCTTCAGTTATTGGGTGAGCCATGTCTGGTGGGTAGAGTCCTAGGTCTGGGCGAAGTGTGACTGTTCCCTGCCCTGCCACTTAGTGCACCTGGGAAGAGAGACAGGTAGTCCACCGTCAGTGGTCCTTCAGAGCTGCTTCCTTGGCCCACATTTTTATCCAATGGATGCAACCTGAGTTTCTGCCTAAACTTTGCACTCAGAAGGCCTGTTGTGTCAGACAATTTGTTCTTCAGATATAGCAGCAGCTGGATAAAAGGGAGTTGGCTTGCATGCCAATATGCTGCTCTTGTCCTAGGCTCTACATGTGGGAAGTGTAGAGAACTCTTCCTGAGCTTCTCCTCAGGGATCTATTTTTTCTAGCACCCATTGTGTCTTTACAGCACAGGATGGCCTGGCCTAACAATGCTCCCTCCCCATTACCTTTCCTCCCCTTTCCTCCCCATGGTGATCTGACTTCTCTTTTGGGAGTCTTTTCCTCCAGCAGCTCCTTCCCACAGCATTGTATACTGAATCACAGCTGGCAAGCAGGGCGTGCTGCCCCAGCCCTGGGAAGGGAGAGTTTCTTCAGGCTGGCTGTAGTCACTGAAAAGGTTGTGCTGAGCTCTTTCAGCTCCCAGAGGCTCAAGAGGTAAGCGGGACAGGTGCTAAGTAGGGAATGTATGGTCTGAAAACTAAAGACCAAGGCTGCACGCGGGGAGAGGGCCATAAGCAGAGGGGTGAGCTCCAACTGGTTCCTGTTGGATGAAAACAGCAGAGGCCAGATTGAATAATTACCCCTGCAAAAAGTGGCAGATGATGCTCATGATCACTTCACCCCTCCACCCTCATAGAAACAGCCAAGGGGGACATATTCCCCTTGCATTTCCAGCAGCCATGTTCTGCTTCATTGACCAAGCCAATCACTACCAGCCATCCATGCTCAGCCTGGCCTGTGGCCTGCAGTAGAATAGGGGTTGGGTTGTGAAGCTTACTTTTACATTAAAAAGTTGGAAGCTGCCATCTTACAATTTTATGGAGCTTTCCAAGGATCCATAGGATCTCCTGTGAAACTCTATGAACCGGACATCAAGACTGGCCTTGTGATATAGGTCCTACAGCAGCTAGTCCTGTCAGAGTTGCAATTTCCTGATCACTCTTGGATTTCCTCTGCCTGGGGAAGGGGTGGGAAGGTGGGATCTAGGTCCTCAGAAGAGGTCTATTTCCTCAGAATAGTGGTTCTCAAGTTCAATAATTTCTGAGGTGCAGTGACCAGAACAACACAATATTCCAAGTAAGATTGTAGTTGTGTACAGGACAGCTACCACAAGCAACTAATAATAGCAGCTATTAATTGCCACAGGACAACATGGAAACATAATTTACCATTTTGACACTTGTCTTTCTTTTCTTTCTTTTTTCTCCCTCCCTCCCTCCCTCCCTCCCTTTTTTCTCTATCTCACTTCCAGGCAGCCATGTGGAAGCTGAGCAAGACTGACATCCTGGTGATCTTGGCAATTCAGGTTGCAGTTCTCCTCTGTTTCACTTTTCAGCTTCACCACATGCCTCAGGAAAAGCTGACTCAGAAGCATATCCTCATCCTCTCCTCTTGGAGATCTGGATCTTCCTTTGTGGGGCAACTCTTCAGTCAGCACCCCAATGTCTTCTACCTGATGGAGCCAGCCTGGCACGTTTGGACAGCCATGTACCAAAACAGTGCCACGGTCTTGCACATGGCAGTGCGGGACCTTGTCCAGTCAGTCTTCAAGTGTGACATGTCCGTCTTTGATGCCTATATGAAGGAGCACAGGAATAAGTCTGCGCTGTTTCAGTGGGAGACCAGCCGGGCTTTGTGCTCTCCCCCTGCATGTGATTTTTTCCAGCGCAGTGACATCATCCCCAAACATTCCTGCAAGACACTCTGTGGGAATTATCCATTCAGCAAAGTGGAAGAGGCCTGCAAGACATACAGCCATGTTGTCTTGAAGGAAGTCCGTTTCTTTGACCTCAGGGTGCTTTATCCTCTCTTCATTGACCCCTCCCTGAACCTCAGAATTATCCACCTGGTCCGCGATCCCAGGGCTGTCTTTCATTCCCGTGAGAATGCAGCAAATGAACTTGCCCGTGACACAAAGATTGTGGTGAGGCATAAGAACAATATGAAGGACATGAAACCCTATGCCATCATGAAGGCAATTTGCAAAAGTCACATTGATATATACATGCAGGTCAAGCAATCTCTCAAAGATCGCTATCTCTTGGTTCGCTATGAGGATATTGTTAAGACTCCCTTGGCAAGTGCTGCTCAGCTGTATCAGTTTGCAGGGCTTCATTTCCTTCCCAGCCTTCAGTCCTGGGTGCACAACATCACACATGGCCAAGGCCTTGGCACCAAAGTCTTTGACACCGACTCCAGGGATGCAATGAATGTGTCACGGGCTTGGAGAAAGACGCTTTCTTATTTCCAAACAGCAACAGTACAAAACATCTGCAAGGATGCTATGAAACTTTTGGGCTACCAGCCTGCTAGATCTGAGGATGAACTAAAGAACATGGCATTTGACCTCTTGTATGCAGAGGAATCACTGGCCAAGTAGAATATAAAAACCGCCTGCCCAGGTCCCAGCAGCTCAAGAAGCCACAACTAGACTGCCCCAGGTGGCTGGAACCTGTGCAGACAACCCCTACATGAGAGGATGAGGGAGCACCTGGCATTTGCCCTGTGAGAAATGTTGGAGCAGCTAGCAAGTAAGGAAAAGCAACTCAAACCCTCCTGGTACCGCTGTGCTTCTCGTTACTTGTCCCATCAGTCCACAATCTGCAGTGGTTGACAGCTGGAATGTTTCCCATGGACGTGGATCTGCTCACTTGGCCTGCATCCAGTCCCTGACTCAAATGGAGACACTGTAGATAATGTGGTCTGTGCTTATTTCTTTGAAATGTAGCTTCCTGCCTAATATGCTGTTTGTCAATTAATTCTATAACAGAATATCTATGCAAGACTGATCTGTAAAACTTTATTGCCAACTATTCAGAAGAGCAACCATGATTAAGAGTAAGTACTGTAGTTTGCTACACAAATAAAGATTACGAAAAGAACAAAAAGGAGAACTGTCTCCACCGCAGCAGCTTAGGTTATTTTCACTCCTGACACGGATTAACTTGTCCTGAACCCCACTCGCTTCCTTACGTTTTCTACTCCGTATTTGGTCTCCAAGTTATTTCTGGCTTCCTCCCGGCCCTCCAGCAAGTCCGCGTCGTCCTGCCTGCTCCAAAGAGGACAGCCGTCCGAGCGCTGCCCGGTCCGCAGACACTCCGCCGCGGCCGCCGCTTCCCCGCTGTTCTTCAGGAAGGCCTGCGCCACGGCCGCCAGGTCCGCGCCGAACTCCGCCATGAAGCGCTTCATGTCCGCCACCGCCGCGGCCACC